GATCGTGAGAAACTATTACTAACCTGGCGAGAGTTTCGCCAGAAAAATTGCCTTTTTATTATGGTTGTAGGAACTGATTATGTATTGTGTAAATTGAAAGTTTACCTCGTGATTTAAGAGGTTTGCAGTGCTCTCACTGGGATTCAAACGTCGTGGTGGTGTCGGCGCAATGCTGCTCTGAGACGCTTGCCAGACTCTGCCTCGCTCAAAATCATTATCGCCATGCTTGATTTCCGCAACATTTACATTTGTTTATGATTTCCACAGCTATTGTTCTATGAGATGCGCCCTCGCTGTTCATAGACAGCCATAAACAAGTTTAGTTGGGTCGACATGTACTCATTGAAAGTGTTCTGAAACTGATCACGCAATAGGCGAAGTTAAAAATATGTCGCTACTCAGGAGAGCTTGCCCACAACGCTAAATGTCCCAATATACAGCCAAAACAAAGTCAGCTTGGACATTCAGTTGTGAGACATGACAAAATAAACGGTGCCAGCGATATATTTCACGAATGAAAGAACAAAATAAACGCAATCAAAGGCGCCGACCACGCGCGTTGCGACGAGAAATCTGGCCTGCATCTTCAAGTTTCACTCACGCAAACGCACACGCATGCTATTTCCGTATATTGAATACGTTGGCAACGGAAGGACAAGTTTAAATCATCTTTGTATTAACACAACTTTAAAGCAACAGTCTCACACTGAATATATGTTTATCAATTATTAAACTAAACATTCAATCACGGTTACTAACCGTATGCTCGTCTACTACACGCCCGAGAACTACACATTCAAGTATCCAACTTCCAGATACAAAACATGATTAGTATCAGCAATAATTTCTAGTATTACATATGTACTGCAGTTTATTTTGATTCGTCCCTGAAATCAAAATCGGTATTTCTACACCTCATATGCAAATGAGGTCTGAGGGTAAACAAAGTAGTCCCTTCAGGAGTACCGTTTTTAAAAACATAGCAGAAATAAACAATATCAAAAAGTAGGATATTTTTCACTTGGGGTACATATGAATATACTTGCCGAGTAAAATGAAATTTGAACAACAGTAATGGTACCTTTAGCCAGTTACTTATTTTGACAAAAACTAATTTGCATATCACCCATGCAATAATGTTTTTGGTATTTTCACGGTAGATATGCAAATGAACATGGTATTTCCATCGGCTACCGAACTATTTTTGTTTTGTAAATACATTTTCGTCTGCTATTTTTGTCCGGTTCAAATCGTCAGGCAACATTTTTGGCGTGTTAGGTGTACATCACATGGAATACTACGATTGGGAGAACTTAATGTATGTTGACCACCTGGAAATTGAGTTTTATAATCTTTGAAGGGCTCTCGGAAGATCCACCAGCAGTGAAATCAGCGATCTATGCAGCCGCAACCATCAACATCGAGATACCAAGTTTCTGCTGGCGACGTTGCGGCGTTACTCAGTTCCAAATAAAAATTACCAGGGCCTAAAGAGCAA